GATCCTTGAGGTCGAGGCGGTGGAAATGAAGCAAAATGTAGGAAAAACCAATATAACGATACAAGTGCTGTTAAATGTCACCTGTATCGTTCTGTCGATAAACATGAGTATGAGTGTCCACGAGCCTTGCTAATTTCAGTTGAGAGATCAGCTCATTTCAGTTGCACAAGTGATGTTTTAACGATACACAAACTCATTCATGAGGATAGCACAAAAGAAGTTAGATGATCCAATACATGTGGTCGTTACGGTGAAAACGAAGCAAAATATTGGAGAAATCAACAAAACGGTGTAAGTGTCATTAGACGACACTTATGCCGTTCTCACTATAAACAAAAGTATAAGCAGACAAAAGTGCCGTTAAACAACACGTGTGTCGTTCTATTTATAAACACGAGTATGAGCACCCACGACCCGGTCGAGCATCGATAATCGATAAATTAAATTTATTTAAGTTGCAAGATGGACATGACATTTACAAAATTTAGGAGATATGCTTATTAATTATATTTTCTAACGAATGTAGATAATGCCTTGTGATTTCTCCAACTCGATATCATACAATCTACGTCAATGTTACCAATATTTGTCACATAACTAATATTTTCGACTTTCTTAAGTTAGAGAGTGCATGCTTGAAGTCAGTATGGCGAAAACAAAGTAAAATATTAGAGAAATCAACATAACGACAAAAGTGTCGTTAAACTACACATGTGTCGTTCTGATTATAAACAAAGTATGAGCACCTACGACCCATTTGAGCCTCGATAATCGATAAGGTGAACTCATTTAAATTGCAAGATGGACATCATGTTTACAAAATTTGAGAGATATGTTCATTAATTATATTTTCAATCGAAAATAGATAATGCCTTAGGATTTTTCCAACTCGATATCATACCATTTATGTCAATTCTACCAATATTTGTTACATATCTAACATCTCCGACTTTCTTAAATTAAGGAGTTTAATATTTGAGGTTGTTGCGGTGAAAACGAAGCAAAATATTAGAAAAATCAACATAACAACAAAAGTGCCGTTAAACTACACGTGTCGTTTTATCTATAAACACAATTATAAGTACTCATGATCTATCCGAGCCTCGATAATCAATATGTTGAACTCATTTAAGTCGCAAGATGAGCATGACATTTACAAAATTTGAGAGGTGCTCATTGATTATACTTTCTAACAAATGTAGATAATGTCTTGTGATCTCCTCAACTTGATATTATACAATCTATATCAATTCTACCGATATTTGTCATATAAATAACATTTTCGACTTTCTTAAGTTAGGGAGTCCAATACTTGATGTCGTTTCGATGAAAAATGAGCAAAGTAATAGAGAAATCAACATAACTGCAAGGTGCTGTTAAACGATACGTGTGTAGTTCTGTTTATAAACACGAGTATGAATACACATGACCCGTTTGAGTTTCAATAATCGATAATTTGAACTCACTAAATTGTAAGATGAACATGACATTTACAAAATTTGAGAGATATGTTCGTTACTTAATCAACATGAAAAAAGAAAACAGCACAAGTGTCGTTACTGTTATAAAAACGGCACAAGTGTCATTATGTATATAAACACGATATGAATTATTGACACCATGTATACTTTGAAATTATTTTCTATTAAATCAATAATATTTTATTTTTGAACATCATTTTTATATTTTTTAGGTGAAATATTTAAAATGACACCAATATTGTTTTATAATAACAAAATAAAAGTATATCTGCCATTCTAGTTTCATCGATCCTAAGACAATGACAAAATCAATCGTTCTAAACATTATAAATAGTTCGCTTTTCAAAATAACAAAAGCAAAATATCATAACACCACCATTATTTTTCAATATTACAAAAATAGCACATCATAAACCACAAAAACAAACAGATGTGCCGTTTTGTCTTTATCGTTCACGTCTCTCACTGAGTGGTACATGATCCATACAAGTGATATGGCTATACTCAGTTTTCAAACACCTATTACACTTATGGTGTCACACCCCTCATTTTTTTAGTCAAAGTCAAGAAATATAATTAGTCAAAGTCAAAGTCAATCAGGACTTAAGTTGAAAAAATAAATTCATGGGGACTTGTATAAACAAGTGGTACTTGTTGAGGTTAATTTGTGAGTATAAGAACAAATAGGTAAGTTTTCAATTAAATGGAAACATAAGGGTTTAATTGCAAACTATGGCAAAGTTGAGAGCCTAATTATAGATAATTTCATTTTGTCCAATTGTTAAATGGAAATAAGACCCATTTTCTTTCATTTCCTTGGGTGAAACTGAGAAGAACCGAGAAAGAGGGAGGAAGAAAAAAATGAAGAAGAAGAAGAAGTGGGTTTTCAATTTTGGGGTGTTCCATTTCTTCAATTTCTCATTTGATTTTGAGAGGTAAGTGTAAGTATATTGAGTTAAGTTTTCTTTTAGGGTTTATGGAAAATTTGGTCATATTCGAAGTTAGCTAGAATTAAAGGTTTTTGACATTTATTTGAGGTATTAAACATGAATCTGTAAAAAAAAAAAATATTAATTGAAAGATTGGTGTTGGAAAAAAATAAAAGAAAGAAAAGAAAAGGAGGGAAACTTTGAAAATGAATTTGTGAAATAGGTGCTTATTCTTTGATTTTCTTTGGATTATGTGATGTTAATCACTTAAATTATGGAATTGGGGTTGATTTCTCCATTTTTAAGTAATAATTATGAGCAATTTTTGGACAAATCCTACACAGATGCTGCTTTTGAAATCCTGCCTAGAAAAGTGCTAGTTTTGTCAATTTTTTGGTGAAGATTTCAATAAATAGACATTGGTGCCAGTTTTCAATATTCTGGAATTATAGTGCTAGTTTTGTCAATCATATAATTTTCTTGGATTTCTAGTATTCTAACCAAATTAAGTGTTAATTATTTGGAGTTTTGGTGTTTAAATAATTTATAAAGGAGTACATGTTGTTAGTGACTTTAATTGGGATTACGAGGTTGAAAATAAAATATATCATGTTCCCATTGGTAAATTAATATTTCAAATGGTAGGAAAATACTCAAAGCATTTTGGTAAGGGAATATGATTTACTAGAGCGAGTGCGTAATATCATACTTGATATTTGAAGTTCAAGCGGTGATAAAAAGATTCAAACCATGGTCGACTATTACTTGGTGAGTGGATAAAACTTATTTTTCAGAAATAAATCTTCTTTAAATTTTAAAGTTATTTATTTTATAAAATTGACTTCATAGCATGATTTTCAGAATAAAATGAATTTTATTATCAACTGCTTTTAAAGTTAAATTCAGTTCAGTTAAATTATTTTAGTAGCATGTTATATTCTTATTACATGTTTCAGTATAGTTAAAGTTATTTATAAAAATCATCAGAAAGTACCCAGGTGATTTTACCCCAGTTTGCACTGGTGTGAATGTGTTTCCACAGTGTATGATTAGTTATGGTGATTTTACTTCTCTACACTATCGTGAATGTGTTTCCATAGTGTATGACCAGATTATCAGAGGTCTTTGGAACCCACTCTCGTACACACATAGGCTTTGGGCCGTGTACTAGGGTGATTAGCCTTTGGGGCAGATCTGCGTACGTATGACCAGATTATCA